ATTAGGGCAAATAAAACCAAACGATCGCAACTAAAATACTTGTCGGAGTTTAACACTTTCATAACCTTGGAGTGTATTGTCGGACGATTGCCAAAATCCTTCAACTGAAATTAACTGGAGCGAAGCCCCCTAGTGTGCACACCTTTTCATTCACTACAGGTCAAGTTATAATAAGATCATGGAAAATCGGCGTTGTACTGAGCAGTCAAAGCTGAGATTTCGGAAGTGTTCCAAGATCGACCATTGCGAAAATTCAAAATAACGACGCCAAACTGATAGTTAGTTCCCCAAGGACAATATGAACCAGCTTTCTTAGACCGTCTCCTCTAAAATGTAACATTTCCCTAGCTGACAGGAGATTGTATCATGGATGTTTGAAACCAAATCAGGTAAACCAACAATGTTTGGGTGACCACTATGTTATACAGACGTTTCAATTTCCTGGTGAGGCGTTTGTGAGAAGTTCCACCGCCAAACACGCCCCCATTCGCATGATGTAACCTGGACGTCTTGCGCTTACTGGTAGGCGTACGCGTCTTTGTTTTCCTGTCCATCCTGGAAACTCGAACTGCGCTGTGTTCGGTTGACACCAATGGACCATGCAAGATTGGTGCTTGAGTCGCTGCTTCAGTTCGTCGTGTTGTGATAGAATTTCTGAATTTCTGAAACAGGACACCAGGTTATTAAGATCCATTGATATACACAACATTTTGGTTAGATTCGCATCCAGTTTGAGGAACATTTGGAGCTTATATTTTATCCCTGTGTTTCCACCACAGAAATATNAACGATGCCAGGAATACTGGAACGCGGTTGTTAGAAGTCCGGATTATCTATTAGCCTACTTTGAACTCAATACTTAATTCTCATTATTTCTTCCAATAAACGAACTACCATTCCTGAGCCGTTTTATCCCTGTGTGTCCACCACAGAAATATCATTGGAGTTTCCATCGTTCATGTATTGATTCATGTGCATGACCATTTAGACGATATTTCCGTAACGGAATGACGAGCCTTCATCAAAACAATTGTGATTGATGTTATGTAACGGGACTGTGTAAGCAAACCATACATTTCCTGATATTTATATAACTTTATACAAACCTCCAACTTCATATAGTCTCATTACAATACTGATCTGCTAGACAACGTCAGGCGAGTGAATGAACGAGTGGTCATTACAACTTGGTCCCTTTTTTGCCAATCAAAGCCTGCCGATTGCCATTAGGCACGGAATAATCTTAAGTATAGTCCAATTAAACTATTCACCTCTGTGATTGGAACAACAAGTTGGACGTTCTCAATACGTTGATGTGCGAAACCATCACCAAGTGGAATGTTTGAAATTGATCATAATGGAGTATGTACTAAGAAATTTCGCATGAACATATTTTGCAAGGGAGGAAATACATATTGTCACTGCTAATGGTGTTATGTAATGCTCACAGTGTGCGAGTAATTTGAAAAGACGATTAACGGATTCCTACAGTATTCCAAATTAAAAAAAACATGTCGGAATATATAAATGCACCTTACTCTCGAATAACATTAGTTGCGAAATTTCTGGCAGCCTGCTCGATCACCAAACGCATCTGCGCCCGACATACTGGCATGCTCTGGATATTATGACATTATCTAATTACAAGTAGTTCTCAATTTCCAAATGAAAATAATTTGAACGTTCATAGTGTGCATGCCTGGGACAGAGAATGATATAACGGAAGACGACAGAAAACTCATCATGGCAGGAATGGATAGATACCGTGTCTTCAACAAAGGTGAGGCCTGGGAACTGGTCACTGGTGTTCGATTACTAAAGAGAACCTGCATTTGAATCTCACCAATATTGCCTGACTTTACCACTCTGTATGTGTTCAATAGCCCACTGACTATCCGCTTCCAACAATATTCAAGGCACCGTGCTACCTGCATTCTTGTTCTCCGTTTTTACTCGTGATACTCCTTGTATTTGTGCCGCATTTGTCACGAAATATTTAGATATACTGTATCAATTGCTTCTTCCACCGACCCAAGCTCGTCATCCAATACACTTACTCTATTTCAGTGATTTGTTTACACCCGGAGACCGCGTTCACGTAGGTTTGCAAGCTCTTCAGATCCGAGACTCTTCGCAGTAGTCGATAACAATCTCTTATCTCGGGTTAACTCTGTTAAATATAGTGGTGTGCATATGCGAAACAATCGTTGTTGATCAACCCACATCACCAAATCCATTGGTAAATTACAACACCGATAATCTCATTTTATACATCTCAGTTACAAAGAGGGTAATCGTCGTGCCTGCAACCAATAAAACCAGAACTGAAATGCTTAAAAGATCCGCATATCTGGTTCTACCTGGCTGGTTTGCATCAGCGGTGCAAATCCATAGGTTCAAATCAGTATGAAACCCGAAACCCCACAAGCAGAACACAAGAATGATATTTAATCGACCACCGCGTGGCTGATGAGCATCCTCTCAATTTTCCATTAACATGAGATTCCTTAATCCATCTTTGTCAGCTTGTTGCGGCCACCACTCCCTGCTCATCTCAGCACTAGCCTCCGTGGTTACAAATCGTTTGGAACTCACAAGCTGGAAAATTATTTTATATGGTATGATGCTTCGTTATTCTTCATTTATTGTTCCTGATCTTCTTAAACAGGATTTCAGTCTAATGTCGCTATCCGACGATTTTTGGGCACATTTTTAATTTTTGTGGACGAATTAGTTGTGAAACATTTGAATCATCAAACAAATTGTTGTGTCCGATTTACAGAAGGGATTCTTGCTAACCGTAACACATTTTCATCAACAGCAACATCTTTTGTATCGTCTTCATGTTACAGCGATGTATGGTTAGGCAAAAATCGCTGTCAGACTCGAAACGCATACAAAGTTAATGGTAATGTGTACGGTGGACAATGGCTATACCTATATTAAGAGCGTGGTCAACAACGTTGTGGGCAACAGTAGGGTACAGAAACTAAAATTTTCATATATATCTTTTCAAGCATTCCGCATTGATCAGAAAAGAAAACATGAACACCGCTACTGTCGGTTAGATGTTATATCCTTCAATTTTTACGACCAACCAGTTGCAGTCTTTCGGCACCCAACCAGAAAGGCTCGCACCCCCTAGTTTGTCTTATAGCTCTTTGCATTTCTTTATGCCTCATATTCAAGTCATCTGTTCACCTCTGGTAAATGTTTACCGAGATTCTCTTCCTTCGTATTTTGCACGATTACTCACATACAAAAAGAACGAAACAGGGGTAACACGTGAGTTAACTCCACAATTTAAACCATGAAATGTCCTATATTGTACGTTTGCAGGCTCGCACGCAGCTTGTATTACGTACACAATACGTTTTAGAAACCAGTACAACTTCATTACAACAATTAAGTACAAACTTATTATAACGCTTGATCGTTTAAAACACATTTCTCGAGTAGAATCATACTGTCCATAAGGATAGGCTTTTGACGACTGAGCACAAATACAATTGGCCTATTGAAATTATTTCAAACTGAAATGAAAGTGAAAGTATAAGTGAAAGCAGATGAAAGTATTGCATTCACCGCAATACGTTCTGAAATAGACATCTGAATGAATTGTCGAACAACTGGACAGCTACTCTGCTACTCACTCGCTCAGTTGGAGCACGGGCTGTGTCCGGAGGTGAACATGGAAAGCTTGTAAACTTGCAAACTTCACAGTGAATTCATGAACAACAGCATCTGATTGTATTCATTTGCAATAATGTTTGTGACCTGATCAAGCTTTTACAAACACTTTGCCACGCACACCAACATCAAACGCATTGAGGTTTATTAGGTATTTCGGTTATATTTCTACAATCAACAGACTCAACGAAATGATTTATTTTACAAATAAACGCCACAAATTACATGGATATGTCGTTTCTCGTCTTATTTAACCGGTGATGAAGTCTCAATAAGGTTCCCCATTTAGCAGCTCATTTACTTGAATGCCATTTTCCGGTGAGTTAATTGTTCACCTGGGGCGGATTCCATAGTTAAGTGCACGCTCGGTCAAATATCCAGCAGAAACGAATTTAGTAATCACTCCCTGTAAAACGCCCTTGCTATCTATGCAAGTGCCGCTTGCCCAAAACAAATGTGAGATTTCACATACATTCGTCTGTCATGCCCACATTCTGGTCCGTCGTTAACAGCCGATTGTATTCATCCCGGAGGGGATCTACCTTCATTTGTCGTGTGGTTCAAAAAAAAGACTGAGCTGTATTCACCCCTTCACACATACCCTCTTCGTAATCACCTGTTGTTTATTGGACTTGGTTCCCGCAAACGGGTGAGAACACTCGGAATCTGCTCTGAACCAATCCTATATTGACCAATTAGCTGTTGAAAATATTATTTTGTGTGCTATAAAATGGTGCAACAAACAGTAGGTTTTCACTCTGTAAAGATTCTCTGTTCCGTCACCTTTGATGAAATGTTTTATGCTTATCTGACTGTCGTACTACAGGCTCTCGTGTGGGGTAAGTCAATATTGAGATGCGTTTGAAAATTGTCATTGCTAGTCCAAGGTGGGTAGCGTGTCGTTTTTCATTCATCCAGTGGTTAATCATTCACTCTGCTATTAGAAAACTGCCCCGGTTCATTCCATTTACTGAGATATTGAAATTGCTCACCCCGCGTATATTATCCGACTACTCAAAAGACGTTTATCATACGGCATTCTGTCTCATATCGGTGGAATAATCAGTATTGTCCTATCTTTATGCACTAAATGAAATTCGAGTATGGTTTCGTATGCCATTTTGAAACAAGATCAGATGAGTCCATGAGAATCTCGTTCGCCGAGATTTAAATACTTTGATTTTTATCATCAATAAAGGACCGATGCCCGCTCAATAAATCTAGATCTAATCTTACGATAGACTGTGAGAAGGTAATTCGGAAATTGATTGTTTACTCAACGACGAACAATTTGTAAATACAAACGTCTTATGTTTACAGTTACTGTGTTCAGCACCGAGGAAGGAGTATCGCGAGATGTGGCCGTCATTCGCTGGCAATTTGAATGTCATCCGGGGTCCCGTGAATGGGATAACGTACAGCGTTGGTCCCGTGTTGGTCTTGCTTATGACCTTAAAGTGAGTGAGATATTTTGCATTCGCCGAAGTGATCACTATTTGTTTTGAGTAATCGGGGAAACCTGTTTTTCAGTGAACGTATGCAGAGGCATGCCACTGTTGCGCTTAGGTAGAGTCCGTTTTGAGGGAATTACCTAAGAATAAAAAAACAAGGATGTTCATACAGGTGTTGGCCAAACTCGTGCAACGTCACCCCCATTTTGGAAATCCATTTCAGCTTGCAATATCATACTTATATATAGATGGCTATGAGTTAGGTGTATCTATTACTGAGTTTATCTCCAGCATTTATGTGCTTAGATTTTTTTCTATCACCGTTTCAATTTGCGTGTAGTGATAAAATTTGTAGTAGTTCAAAAGTTACAGCTCTGATTTGGAAAATATTTTAGGCAAAGCAGCATGGGAATTCATTCTTTTTAAACGATGATTCCTGTCCCATGAGATTGTCTATTATGTTGAGCAAAATGTCTGATGACAGAGGATTCTGATAACTGTCACTCTCAGCATGCATTTGCGTAAGTCATATGTTTCACAAATGAAATTTGGCATATCAGCTCACATGAGGTTAGTGGTAGAAAACAGTGAGACCTAAATAAATATTATTTTTTTCACATTTATGCAGTTTCTAGAGGAGTCAAGTTCAATGCCAAATTCTTTCTATTACCGTGCAGCAGTTGGGATTTTAATTTAATCGAAAACATTACCTCCTATCTAAAACAGGGATAAGTTAGCTACTTTGCCATTAGTCGCCAGTGGTAAGGGTGTGCAGTGTATTAGAGGAAACTTGCAAATTCTGTTTCGCAGTCAATTTCGTGTATTCCGTGTCTGCAGTGCTCAAAAATGAAGGAGGGCAAATGAAATTTGAACGAGATGAGAACACAATGTCTGTGTAACGTCCATGAGTCATTTTAATAATTAAATTAAAGTTACATTCTCTACTGTGACTTTATGATCTTACAGGTGATGCACCAGCAATCGTCGTCAAAATCGCGAAATTGTACATTTTAATGGCATATGGCTAACAGAAGCAGTGACATAAGTGGGTATTATATCAGATATGTTGCATCTGATGTGGAGTGATATCACATTTAATCCCGTGAATGAGGCTGAAAAAACAAACCAGCAAAACATTGAGAAGAACAAATGTGATGAAAATCAGGATGTTGTACGAGTTCGGTCAATACCTGTATTGGAGTAAATCAGGATTGAATCGCAAACTCAAGACAATTTCAGGTGCGCCGGATTAGTATATTACCAGTTAGCACTCTTGAAATTACCCTCGTTTAACACGTAACGTGTGCTGAGTCGAATCTATAGGTTTTTGTTCCCTAAGAGACGTGAATTGCCACATTGTTTCAGCCTAATAATTCACGACAGAAACAGATTATACATTTCCAGCAACACGATTAGATTAATCTGGTGGAAGAATGGAACTAAATGCATGTGAACAGCACGTTACATTCACGATCCTTGTCACCAATAAATGTCAGTTTTTTTCAACCTGGCTGCCTGATGTGAACGCTTTCAGTTGAATCATAACCCTTGAGCCGAGTGGTGAATTGCGTGAGGATCGCTACCCGCAAAAAGCTAGCAGAGATGGGCGGTTGCCATTTGCATATTCAAAATGAGGAACTGTCCAATCAGCCGCTCGGTTCGATGGATTTGCACAGCTGAAGGGGTTCCAAACGGGTCAAAGAAGCTGTACAGCGTATCCCGGGTTTTCAGCTCTAGCCTCATTTAAACAAAAAAACACATCAAATATTCGGTTACTGTCATTCGGTAGTCACAGTTACTTTTGAACTTACCGCGTTGAAGGATTCTGGTTGATCAGATTAGGAAGACGTGTTGTTTTGTAAACAGATGTATAACAACAGAATCCAATCTGAAACGATCATTAGACAACAGCAGAAAGGAGGTGTTTCATTCAACTCATCGCGAATGGAAAAAATTGGTCAAACATCAATGCTGTTCATCGCTGACGTGGAGGACCACATTTAATATTACCCACATTCATTTTGGTCAACATATGAGTGCACTTGACTTTCATATAAAACGTAATCCAAAGCTTCTATTTGGTCAAAGCACTATGACTTTACCTTCTGGGAGAGAAAGGACGATGCGATATGGGAAACGGAACCCACCATGTCAACTCGTCGACCTCTCAAACTTGGATACCGCATACACATGAACCGCTTCATATGCATTCCTATGGCCCGCCTGACATGCAATTGCACTCAAGGAATCGTGTTGAACAAAATGGCCGTCACATCAATTGGGTCCGGGATGAAATGCCCCACTGTCGCTGGTGACCAATCGTGAGTACCCTTGGAGATATCACTGCATGTCCATATTGCATCTCATCAGTCTCTGTCTCAGTGATGAAAACTTGCTGTGACTTATCACATTGCTCACTATCTTAATGATAAAATCCAGTTTTGTTCGATAGTCCGCAGTGCTTCATTTTGTGTAGAGCATTGTGATCGACGTGCGAGTACATGTTCGGGATCACTGTTAAATTCTAACACAAAACCATTTTGGATTTTAGAGTATTCCTTTCAAATCCCCTCAACAAATACATGAACTTGGGCGACCTAAGTGGGAAGGGAAACGCCAACAGTTGGGTACGTTTATTTTGTGGTGGTTGATGGAGTTTTTCACTCCATTCTACAAGCCTGATTTATTTGATTGATTCTTCGGATTCTGTGGTCCAAAATGTTCTCGTTATTCAGATAATAATCACCCATTGGAAACATATAATTGTTTGATTGAGTGGCACAGGTTCCCTCGGTTTACGAATGACTGTCACCGTCAATTAGATTCAATACAGGAAATACGATTTCCCTGGTTTTCCTATGAGTCGGAAGTCATCGGACCGGCTATTATGCCACATCACAGTGTGTTGTTTGTTACTTTTGTAGATTGAAATATCGGTTGACGGATCTGTGCCAGTGAGACACCCAAACTCGTCTGTCGAATGTCTCTTGACACAAGGTCCTGTGAAACTCCACCAAGCTCGCATATCACCGCGGCAAAAGGTCAGCGAGGCGAAGAGAATTCTCTCAAGATCCAGGAGATCCCACGTGGAGGTACGCTAAGAGTTTGGATCACATGTTATTTAATAAAGGCGATTTTGAAGCTGAATGCTTTGATATACTCCCTGATTGATGAAATCGGGGACAGTTTTGTGTTCCAAAGGTTTTCACGCTGTGAAATACGCTCTTACACTAGGGTTGTATCACAATCCTCGGTCTTCAGAAGGAACATCCCTGGAAGACTGCCGTGTATTTGCGTTCACCGATCGTTGTGTAAGCTGAGCATAAGATTCATTTTGACGGCAGACCACGATAGAGCTTCAGTTGATGAGTTACATAGATAAAATAGAATAATAAATATTATTTTTAACGAAACACGTGAACGGTGAAAAGAAGCAAGCTGATAGCGGGATGTTTCGTCACAATGGAAGAGAAATAACACTAGTTTACTCAGGCTAATTTGAAATTCCGAACAAAAAGTATAAAAATTCCTAGGCGTTGCCGTTGTGTGTCAACCATGTGTAAATTGCGGAGCTCACTCTAAAGAAGGAAATATTGTCCGTTTAGATAGGGGTGCAGTCTCAATCCGTTCCGACCAACGCGATGACGAAAGCCATATTAAATTTATTGATTGCTGCCAGTTGTTAGTTGTTGTCAGTTTCTGTTTAAGCCCTTAGTTGAATCACAAAGGCATTATCTGAATGTAGAACAAACGATGAAATGAAGTTTTATGTTGCAACACTGTATGGGGTTTCCGCCGTAATTGCTGCTGTTTCCATTGTGATATCTTGACACATTTTTACATTGAACTGCAGATTTGCAACATGGTCACACTTGCACCCGACGAAGAACGGAGTATACACGTGAACAGACCAAAGAACGTGACTTTTGTCATCAACAAATTGAACTATATAACGCCAAAACCGTTCAAGTTCATCATCAAATGCTCAGGCAGTCGCCTGTTTGCGGTCGCCAGCTGTAACCTCAGTTTGATGGAAGTGGAGTTCGGAAAAGCTTTCGGCATTCCTTTGCGTAATTTCAAGGCAACTGGTGAACTCAATAACATTCAAACGAATCAATTGGAATGGGAAATAATGCGCGAGTGAAATTTCCATACACTAACATTGTTGCATAGGATTCCCCTCAAAGCTGGCTGAATGAGATCAATCATGATAATTTTCTTGTTCATATCTCCAGATTCTGAAGGACTTGGACCAGGAAGTCCGTTCAGTATTACTATTTCGGTTGGAATGGCGTATTCTGCCTTGGAACTAGAAGGAACTTTCCTCTTGATTGATTTTGTAATTGACGGTTTTTTATGCTGTAACCATATCCATCTGAAAATTGTACACGAATCGGAGTACAAAGCGGTATTGAACACACAGATGAAGGCAAATACATTGGACATTTACCCCAGGTTCGTGCGTTTGCTGGTGGACGGAATAATATTTGGTTTTATTATTTTCAATATAACATCATGTCCATAGTAGATTCGTTAACTGGTCCGGATACAACTGGATATAGAAAACAAACACGGTGGTTTCAAACTGAAGTGTTACAAATTGGATTCGCATTTGGCAGCTTATTTGTGCGCTGTTTCATCACACGACTGACAATGACCGTCGAACATCAGAACCCATAAATCGAAACGCTATAGTTTAAGACGAAGCTAACCACCAAACCCTGACTAACAGATTTCATATTGCTTTTAAAACGTCAGTTCACATTCCGTGCTACTTCAACATTTTGCATCGCAGCTCTGTCCACCTTTTTCCAAGTCGAGAATGGTATCGCACGATTCACGATGATCGTTGCACATACCGAAGTAACGTGTTTGGAGTGCAAATCAATCAAGATCACCGTGCATTCTTTGTAACGTTATAGATTCAGATGACACTGAACTGCTATCTCTGAATTACAGCTATTCATATAGACAGACTAAAGCGTCAGTCGTTGGAATTTTTATCCCGTACCACTTGAGTCCATGTCTTGTTGTATTGCTTTCAAAACTTGAATTCACGTTCACGGGGCTTTATAATTATTCGTCAGGCAAGTGTTAATTAGGCCTTACGCGAATCAATGATAGCTAGCTGATGCGGAGGGTATGAGCACAACCGTGGAAAACCCTTTATATGTTACCAATCCACAAGATAGCTCCGAGATGAGAAAAAATACTAATTAAGAACAGCATGCCGGGTATCAATAAATTAGTATGTGCAAGAAAATATCGTATTTGGAACACGTTTTCAGAATTCCTACAAGCATACTGGACAACTAATGGAACGGTCCGATAGTAGGTTTTACAATTTCTATAGTTACAAAAGTAAATCCTTTGATTCAATAGTGACTTGCGTGGCAATCCAATGACCGCTTATTAATACTTACTCACTACTGGCACATGTGAATACTAAGTCAAACATCTTCTCCCCCTGGAGAAAATGAACTCTGCTTGCAGTGTGTAATGACCTCCATTTTGAAAATTTGAATGCGTCTGCTTGTTGTACTTTCCTGACTGAATATTGGTGATCTGGATTTTGAATTGTGGAGAGGAAAGTTTACTGTGAAACGTACGTTACTGTATTTTGGTATCAAGACAATTGGTACATCACGATCGCTTAACATGCATAGGATTAGATAAAAACGCTTGGAAGGCGGGATTGAAAATAAACGGAGGATAGTTGCGTATTCCTTCACGCAGAATAAACGAATTCGTGTAACTTAACCGATCCCAGTTTTTCAGTTTTGCTAATAAAATATGGACACTGATTTACAAAAAAACAAACATAAACCGCATTGCCAATGACACATTTATGGGAGAATGTGTGCGGCTGATTCTGGTTTGACGAACTTGGGGGAAGCAACATGTAGAACTACGGAGAGGGGAAGTGTGCAACAATTTCGCAATCTCGGTAAACAAGGGACTAGAAGAACTTACTCCAACATATACGACCTACATCTGATATGGGTAACATTTCACAGTATTTTAGGGTAAAGGCGTGTGTGACGTGAATTCTTCAAGCGGTCCGGATACATGCGAAAACAAACAAAAAACGTGTTATAGACTCAAAACTAGCAATTTGTAAAGTCGGTTCTTCGTAGTTGAGATTATTTTCGTGCAAACGAAAAATAGTTTGAATTGCTCCTCTCATTCGTTTTCCCCAACTCGGTCAGTGACATTGTTCGATTAGCGATGACGGTCTCGCAAAACGAGGAATCTCAATTGGAATGTAAATCGGTAAAAAATACGTCTGCATCAAAATCCTTGGATCAAGAACATCACCGTTTCAGCTTCTGGCAATTCATTTCTCTTAACTGTTACACAGTCATACCGACTGACTGAAGTATCGGTAAGTAGACACTAATTGTAAAATACCACGAAATTTCAATCGTTCCAAATGTAACGGCTTCAGAATTGGATTGAGGGTGTCTCACTCCCATGAAACTTTGGATTTATTTGTATGACACATCACAATTAGAATTGACACAAAGTATTATGAAATGTTGTAAACCGTGTTCATAATCGATAACTGATGAATGAAAGAATGATATAGATAACCAGAAAAAGCACCTCTATCTCTCTTGGAATTACTTAGTTTATCTAGCCATGCGATAAGTATTCATCGAAATGGAATGCAAGAAATTTTATCAAAGATTAACTCCGCTCCCACTAATAACAGCAATCTTCCGCCTGATGAATAAACATTATTTTCAATAATCCTGAACAAGTAAGCTTCTATTGATCCTCTGAACGTTCTATATTCCAAAATCTTTGTATAAAGAAAATCATGTGTAACACATTTCAATTACGATCTACTCGCCCCCTCTCCCTTTTAGGGAATGTATTTGCAGTGAATTCAAAACAAATCTGACAGTACGGTAAATCTTGAGTCACTCCTAGCACCTTTTGACCACATTGAACGATTTTCCTTGTGTGGATCTCCCAATCCCATCGTTCCAGACTCGCTCTATGTTCGTTGGTGAAATATGGGAACTGATTGCCGACGTGGAGTTCCTGGAACATTTTATTTTATCCAATGGTTTACACGCGGGAATAATCACGCTAACGGCGGAGGCCATTTGCTCCGTTTATGACAACATTCCCAACTCCAAAGTTGGCATCTTCTTTGCTACTACAAACGTTGTATTGCATTCCACCAAGGGTGAGTTATTCTCCAATCTTAACTGATATGTTATAACCAAACTGAACGGTCATTTCGGATAGATTCTGGATGTTTGAGTATTCGCATTATACTAAATTTTATCACAATCAAACAATTTCACCTATTCAAGACCGAACGCTGTCTTCCACCGCTGTTTTCTGCATCCGTTTGAGGGTTTCTGTATAACACCCTAGTCCTACCGGACAACCGTGCGACAGGATGCACCTTGACGACCGCTGATACAGTGAAGTTACTCATTAACGCAAAACGTTATTCCATAACTGAGATAAAACGCACCAGAAATGTTCAAGTTATTCGGAATGAATAGTACGAATGAAGACAACTTTTTTCATCCATTGCTGCCCATTTTCAGATAAGTCTGGCTCAGTTTTCCAGGGATTGAAAAGGACTTGTTGTCAATCACTAGGCGAATGAACAACCATATATTTGGGCCCTATCAATATACTTCCACAATGACGATTTCTTACTGTGCTTTACTTTACGAACGTCCATTGTGGTCCAGATGTCGTCAAGCCGTTGATACCGGTCTCGTCAGTTAATGATAATGACTGCCTTGTCAGGACCACAAGGTCAATCTGTCCCTCAATTGACACACCTTTGAATATATGTCCAATGAACGCCGGAGTGGAGACGGACATGCACTGCGAACAGTACATAACTGTACTGTTTGGTTCGATGCACTTGGTTCACTACATTCGACTTAAATTCAAAGATTCAAAATGGAATGCACTCGAGGTGCGCTTAGAAATAACGATGGACGGACAATCATTCTCTGAAATGGCCCACGTGAGTTTATTTGAGTTGAGGTGATCTCAGTTATAATCAAATTACCTACAATATCGGAAATGATTACGTGTTCTAGGTTATTAAATGAAGGTGAATCGATTTTTGAAGCGTGGTTCATCAGTCCGACAGATAGATGTTGTATTTCCGTGCATCAGTTTTCAACCGTATTTGAAGAGGGCTTCTGCCATTTACTACCACGTTATTCAGTTACTCAGTTATTCATGAAAATAAAAGCAATCATACTGAGTTGAAACAAAATATCAAGCTGAAACTGTTTTGAATGAAGAGATGTGATGAGGTAGGGAAAAAAATGTAGAGGAAGACCTTGAAGAATGAAGATTTTGATCTCAGATTTGTTGGCTGCATCCTTTATCTTTACTTGTGGGCACAGCATGAGACCAGGCGCTTATGAAACAGAATATCGATCGAGACAGCAGACTTAAGTTATCCAAAATGAAATTTGATCTGAAAAAGTATAATACTTCTCAATAATAATAGCTTGGCTTAGATAATTTAGTCGTCCATAATAAAACACCAGTGAACTTGGTAATAGAATTACACTTCCGAGAAACACAATTTTGATCAATCATTTTTATACTTTCAACTGTTCAGGCCAGGTTCCTCCAGCAACACGGAAGCGCATAGATTTTAGTCTTCCGAGAACCGATTTGCACCAGAGTTTTGCGGATAATACCCACGAAAGAATTCATATTGCGGGAAAACATGAGACAATCAATACAGGTATTTGGAGATCACTCTGGCAGAGATACTCGTGCATTCGGTACGTTTCATTTCCGTTTACAAAATGATCACAATTTTGTGGATGAATTTCAGGTATAAATCTAAAACAATCAGAAACAAACGCCTTTATTGTTATGGCCATGTTGTCCTCCTCTTTTGCATACCCTTGACAACCGGAGTTCACGTTCCAACACGAAGCCTACCCTAAGCTCCCAAGTGATATGCTTCTATTTAACCGATCCTATCTACTGATGGAGGATAAACTAATATACTGCTCTTTGAGAGCCCATCCATATGTGCCTATCAAGCCTACTATGAAATGTTATTGTGGGCTGGGGGGAAGACAAGTGCGTTTCCACGGTAAGTGTTCAAATTCTGGACATTCAATTTGATTGTAC